CTAAATTCAACATTCTCCATTATAAAATCGAACTATTATATCATGAGGTCGTAAATATAGATATGCAAGGGCATTTGATCTTCGGTATTCTATTCTATTCGATTCTATTCTATTTCGTTTAAAGGGTATCCTAGTGTAGTGTTGAAATTTAGCATGGCAAACAGCTAACGAGCGCTTAATTTGATGTGTGCTAAAACGCTGATGAGGATTAGGCACGAGAGGCAAGGCCAAGCGGCAGCGACTGCACTCAATTTGGGCTAGAAGAAGTGCAGAAGCTGCCGCCAATTCAGCTGCAACGGCAAAAGCAGCAGCAGCAGCAACGGCTACCGTCTGGCCGCGATGTCAGATGCTTGAGCCGTAATTAGGCTACTTGCAGATGTGCCACAAGCTGGCGCAGCTGTTGTGCCGCAGAAATTGTTAACACATTGCTGTCACTGCGACTGCAACTGCAACTGTAACTGCAACAGAGGCAGCGGCAGCAACTGTTGCTGGCGTCTTATCGTTGCTGACGTGCCGTTTAATTGAAATTCGCTGCAAACAAAAAGTAGGCGGCTTCTCTCGATTGGCTGTGGGAAATGTAGCTCCATAGCCTGGGATTGCTGCAGCTGCCAATTGGCGAACCACCCGCAGCAGACCAACTAGTTGCAGTTGTTCGATAATTGCAGTTGCCGCTGTTGTCGTAGTCGTCGTTGTTGTTGTTGTTGTTGTTGTTGTTGTTGTTGGCGTAAAAATGCTAATTAAAGTTGCTTGTTGCCAGTTGTTGTTGTTGCCGTTGTTGTTGTAAGCTGTGAGTTGTTGCTGCTGCTGCCGCCGTTGCAAAGGGTCGCACCAGAAAGATTAACGAGCCAAAGAAATCGTAAAGAAATGAACAGCCACAAAAAATGCAAATCGTTCGCTGATGAATTAACAAAAGCGAAAATCGTGACTTATGTTTTTTGGCAGCTGCCTGTCGCGGGCGGCGCAAACGAACCAAAAGCCAACTGTCCAGCTGCAATACCCAGCAATATTACGCCAAATGGGGCATACCCAAATGTAGAATCATGAAAATATCATTTGTAAACAAAAGCAAAAGCTCTTTGCGCACAATAGTCACATGTAAATTAAGCTCTTCCTTTGCGCTCTTGACAGCTGCTCTCAGACGCCTTCCAGGCTCTCTCACTCTCACTCTCCCTCTCTCTCTCTCTCTCTCTCTCTATCTCAGTCTAGTTTTAGATTTTAGTAATCAATGACGCAGCCTTTTCTGTTGTTATTGCCGCACACCTGCAAGCAGCGACGGCGACGGCGACGGCGACGACGACTGCGACTGCGCAGCTGGCCCCGGGCTGAAACAGAGGCCGAAGCTTCCGCCAGATAAAGCTTATTGAGGCGCTCATTAACGGCGCAGCAGCAGAAATTTCAAATTTTGATTGCCTGCTTGTGATTATGATTGGCTGTTACTTGAAGAGGGGTAAGGGAGGGAGAGGGCGACGGTTTGTTGTTGCCAGCTGCAACAACTAGTGTTGCTTTTGCTCCCGCACGTTTTTCACGTTGAACTTCACTGAACTTGCAACTTGGAAGTTTCGACGATGTTGTTGTTTTTGTTGTTGCGCTGCTCCGAAACCTTTTCAGTTTTCTAGTCGTGATTTGAGTGTCGTGCGACTTTTTTAAGCACTCGTACTTACGCCTGAACTTTGTGCAGTCATTTAATTTTGCTTTCAGCTGTTAACTGTACGCTGTAAGCTGGAACTTGAGTCGGCGCTGTTGTTGTTGCTGTAGCTGGAACTGCGGCTGGAAGACGCCAGCGCCATTGGCAACATTTTTAACGTGCTTGCTTTTGTTGTTGTTGTTGTTACTGTTGCTGTTGCTTTGTGAAATTTTCAGCTCTTTTCGAGTGGAATTTTAATGCTTTCGCACACCTGCACACACAACGGTAAAGTACCCTCGTTTTTGGGCTGCCAACTACAAAAGTTTCAAGCTTTCGAGCTGTTTGCTTTTCGGCTGGCGAAATGCTTGTGACCCGCTTTGACACACACACACACACACACAGACACACATGGTGTATACGTGAGTGCGCCAACTAATTGCAGTTGATTTTATGTAATGCTCTCTGCCTCTTGCTCTGTCACTTAATCAGAGACAATCGACAATTTGCCGATCAGCAGCTAAGAGAGCAACGAACCAGCGTAAAGGAAGCAAAACAAATAAAGGAGAGTTACAGCTGGAGACGCCCTTTGTGTCTGCAGCTTATTAACTGTCCGCAGAGACAGAATCCAATTGGGATGAAGATAATCTAATAGGAAAATGAGAGAGCCTGGCAAATAAGCATTTTAAATGCACTTTTGATGACTTTTTGACTTTTTTAATATTTCTACATCCAAAATAATCCTTTACCTTATTTAATGCCATATCAGCATAGTTTCCGGCACAAACCTTAACTCCTTATGCTCATAAAATAAGCATTACGTGTCCTATCTTTTGTGTTTTAGGTCTTATATCTACAGGGTATATGTACACATGTTTGTTTGTATTCACCGGGGGCAGTAAAATGCACTTTGCCTAATTAAAACGCACAGCAAATGCATTAAGCGAGTTCCGTTCCAAAAGAGACCTCGAAGAGGTCGAAATGCGATTTTCAATGTGGGACTATGGGACTGTGGGACAATCACAACATGGCCACAACAACAAAGGCAGCCACTAATAAAAACTACCTGCGCCACAATGAAAAAAGATGAGCAATGAAATCCTTTCGAATAGCAGCCACAACAACAATATTGTTAATGGCCGATGACTCAACTCCAAAAAAATAAAAGAAAAACAGGCAAGAGATGAAGAAATGAAATAAAGAAACACACACAGGCACACACGCACACACAGTGAAAGACACCTGAGCTGAGCCGTCGCACACCTGAGAAACAAGAAATGCATGCAGGTGTCAATCGCCAGGCAGCCAAAGAATGGTCAGCAGCAGCAGCAGCACTGGAAGAGGAAGCGGCCCAGGCAGCAGGCAGCATACCAAAACGAAGAGACCCAAAACCGAATGCCCAAAGTCAATGCCAAGTAAAAAGCGGGCGCATTACAAATTCACACCAAGTGGCACCCACCCGGACTCGCTGCCCAGCCTAGCAGCAAGAAATGGTTAATCATTTAGGTATAAATCTCGGCTGCCTCCTCTGCTGCTGCTGCTGCGACTGCGGCTGCTGCGGCTGCTTCGTCTGACAAATGTTGCCGCTGCCAAATGCCCCGTGGGGGCAGCCAAACACATTAACGAGCAGCGGCCAACGCGATCGCATTCAAATGAGCATGAGCTAGGCATGGACAGCGGGCAGCGGGCAGCGGGCAGGTGAGAGGGGGCGAGAGGGGCTTGCACTTGGAGCTCAGCGCGCTGAATTCCTAGAATTGTGCGCGTCAATTGATTTACTCAGCTGCGTGGCGCAAGGCGAAGACGCAGGCGACGTGTCGGGTTGATAACTTTGAGATTTGTTATATTTGCTTCATCATCGCACAAACGAGGCACATAGCCAGAGACAGAGCCAAAGCCAGAGCTGGAGCTGGAGCTGGAGCTGGAACCGTGGCCTAGACGATGATGATCATCAACTTGATCATCGTAAGCCGCACACATGTGCGCACATTAAAAAGCAAGTTTCTCAGGTGTTTAAAAGCGTTTAAAAAGAAAACCGACGCAGATGGAGATTCAAGATGAAGAGTGGCCCGGGTAGGAACGGGGGCAGGCTGCGGGGTGTGCTGCGCCTAAAGAGCCAACAACGTCTGTCGTCTGGGGCCCGACAACAACAACAACAACAATAAACGCAGTCGCTGCCAAGAGCCAAGTTAAAAATACACGTACTTTTGCCTCTTGCCAAGAGCCAGTTAAAGCCATGATCATGATCTCGACCAAGCCATGAAAACTACAGACACAGCGAGGGAGCGAGGGAGGGAGGGACGAATGGAGGTAGTAAGCGAGGGACGGACAGATGGCGACGCCAACAACGACAACGACGACGATGGCGACGGCAACGCGCACATGAAGGTTGCCCAAGCCAAGCTGGAGATTTACTTAACGAAATCAAGAGGAAGCGCGTAGGATCGACTGTTAACCTAGCTGTCATACAGCATTGATTGCTGGCAGGCATTGGGCCACATGGAGAGGGGTAGGAGGGAAGGTGGAGAGAGCAGTCGCGAAGCAGTTGGCTTGATTGCTGGCAAAGCGCGTCGATCAAGCGGGTATGGTGGGTGAGGGGCGAGAGGGGGTGCAGGCGAGGGCGTTGCGCATACAACAAATAGACAGAAACGAACCGAACCGAAGCGAAGCGAACGAAGCCGAACAGAACAGTCGGACGGACATGTTCGGCCATGTCCGAGTGACTCAGCGTATTCTGTTTGCTGTTGTTGTTGTTTTTTCTTCTTTTCCAGCTAACGAGCGTTTGGAGCTTTGTGTGTGTGAGTGTGTATGTTTTTTTTTTTGTGGGTTCCCAAATGTTAAGTGCCTGTTTTGATTGGTTTGAGCGATCGCTCTTTAGTCCCGCAGTTCGCGATATTATGGGCAATGATTGAGGGGGCAGGCAACAGTTGAGAAGCTGATCATTATAATGAGGGGGGAGGGGGGCGCAGGAGGAACATAAAAAAGAAACTTAACTGAGGTGTTGGCCAATATGGGAATCGGACATGCAAACGTTGAATTTAAGTCTGATCAATCACATTCAATAAAGAAGCTGCGAATTCGATATTCGATAAAAATTATCTTGATTAAATTTATAGACAGCAGTTTATTGACCCGCAAGGTTGAATTGCAGCAAAAAAAAGGGCTATTTTTACCTTCCTCTGATTTGCAGGTGGTCAAATTTCAAAATTCATCTTTAAATTTTTCAAACTCCCTCGAATTCGTCGAAAATTATCCCATTTTAATGATTGTTGGCATTTGGGCCAGGGATTTGACCCTAGATTACTTTTCCATTGATTTCCATATACATATTTCACTTTTCACATAACGTATTACGCCTAAAATATTAATATCCTTCTTTCAGGCATACAAATTAATCGGATAATAAACACAGAAGTTATTCAAGAATGCATTTTTTATAAAGTGGAAGTGAGAGTATTGAGGTAAGCTTGAATTCATTAATATAGATATAAAGGTAACTCGACTACAAAGATATTGCATAGGTAGATCCTTTTAAAAAAATACACTACTTGCTACAACTATATGGCATTTATGCTAAACAATTTGGGAATTACAAACGAGTTTTTAAATTATAGTAAATAACTACTTGATCTGCTTTATATGTTTATATTGAATTCTGTATTGTTAGAAAACTGTTTTCCCTATTTGATTGCTCTCCGATATCGTCTTATGTACATTTGCGCTATAACCATTTGGGAATTACAAATACATAAGAATTTGACGTTTAATAAATATCTGCTGATCTGCTTGATCTAGTCAGAAGTATGGTTTAGTCAGACACTTTGAAAAAAGACTCAATGACAATTCGGGAATTCCAAATGAGTATTCGAACTTAATTGAACTATAAACCTGCTTGTGGCTTATATTGAATTCTGAATGGGTAGAAAACAGTTTCCCCTATTCGATTGCTCTGTAATGGTTTAATGTATTAGTGCCATAACCATTTGGGAATTACAAATGAGTATTTGAAACTATGTATATATCTGCTTATGGTTTTTATTGAATTCCCCGTTCGATTGCTCCGTTGCACTCACGTCTTCAGTTTTGGTTATTGCACTTCAGTCGAATGTAATTCCTGTCTAGCGTATCCAATTCTAATGTCTAATCTGTGAGGATGCAAAACATGTGTTTGAGCCCAAGAAGAATGCACCTGTTGCGGCTATTGTGCGCATTGTTTAGGCCAAATGCAAATATGAAAAGGTGTTGGGCGAGGCGTCAGCGGTGGGTTTTTTTTCTTTCGGGAACCCTTTCGATGAATCGAGCAAATGCTGGAAATTCCGCAATATGCAAACGTCTTTCAGGAACCCGATGAGCATCCAGAACAACAACAACAACAACAACAACAAGAACAAAGGCAACAACAATGGCAACACACACGCATTAACAATGAGCTGCGAGTTTTAACACCTGTGTGCCAGAATGCACTTGCAGCCGGGAGACGCGAAGGTGAAAATCTATACAAATATTTGACGTGACGAGAATAGAATTGAGAATTTGCATTTGTCGGCAAAAGAACAAAACAACAAGCAACAGGTAAGACTTGTTGTTGGTTGTTGCTTGTTGTTTTTGTTGCTGCTGCTGCAGCGGAGCAAATCATTAACACATTTATGCCTGGCAGATGACCAAACTCTGGCGGGGATTAGCAAAATGGTGCGAAAATCCGTCAAATCCAACAAAAAATTGTTCAACGTGGCGGCAACAGTTGAAAGTCCGACCTGGCCATGGGCATGGAAAATGGCCATTGCCATTGGAATGTGCACACATGTTGCTGCAACAACAGCCGCAGCAGCCGCAGCGGCAGCAGCAGCTCGTGCTGGAATTTGCTGCCAAGTGGGCACGTTCGAGTGACAAATGTCAATTTGCATTCGATTCTTGGGGCCCATTGTGCAATTTGGCCGCTGCTGTTAATTGCAATTGCCACCCGCCAGCCCCACAGATTGAGCCCAGTTAACGTGTTGACTGCTCCAATCACTGCAGCCACTCATTTCACATACAGCAGCAGCAACAACGAGCAGATACCCTGTACATGTGCATGCAACAACAAAAACACACACACACGTGCACTTCAAGCACTGCGGCTGTGCTTGTTCTTCCCTCAATCTTGCTTTATGGGAAATACAGTCTAGAGTAACTTGACTGTTAATGGTCCAATTATTATGAAACTTACAGGTCTTAAATATGGTATATAAAAAAGAAGTGTACATGGCAGAGCCCAAGGCTATATCTCTGAGATTGAGCTTTCTTATCATTTGGGGTGGAAGGTATAACAATATTGGGATAATTTTGATCAGTGTATACACTACGAGAGCCCATATACTACATCTATTTTTTCTAGCTCTTATAAGCTCCGAGATGTACATTAAGAACTGTATGTAATGTATCTGTATGTAAAAACGATGCTTATCGATTTCAAGGTTATATCACAACAACAATGAGCTTTTTGTTCTCATTAGGGGAAGGTATTAAAATATTGGAATACGAGAGACAACATAATACATTTGGGGCTTGTAGCTCTTATGAGCTCTGAGATGTACACTGAGAACGGTTTCTAAAATCGATAGATATCGATTTCAGGAAAATAAATTGAACTAGCATGGAAATAAACTTAATCTAATTGGAATCTACGTTCCAAATATCAGGTCTAAAGCTTGACTCATCTATTGCAGTTGGCTACTCCCAACTGTTACATGCATTTACAACGAACTGTAACTCCCATTCACTATGTGTACAGGGTATAAGAGCAACAGCAGCAGCAGCCACTTTCAAGCTCAAGAACACACCTTAAACTTTTTGGCCTGCTTTTGTATTGTTTACCTTTACAGTTTACTGGTTGTTGTGTGGATTTCAAAAAGCCAGACCAACTGGCAAAGCCACCAACTGGCGGTGGGCAACGGGCAACGGGCAACTTGCCAGCAACAAGTTCAGCTCCAGCGTGGTTGTTGTTGTTGTTGTTTTCGTCGTTGTTGTCGTTGTTGTCGTTGTTGTCGCCTCGGCTGCAGTTCAATGTCAATTTCGATTCGTCATCCACAGCTGCGTTGATTTCTCGGGCGACCTCTCCAATCTGGCCTGCAGTTGCCGTTGTTGTTGTTGTTGCTGTTGTTTGTTTTGTAGCCGCTTTTATGGCCATGTTAACTTTGGACTTGGCTTTAACACAGGACCACCGCCGTTGACCATTGAACGCTTGCCGCCACATACATAGCCTGGATGGGGTTCATTCTAGTGTAATTTATTGATATGCTCGCCAGTTGCATGTACATGTGTGTGTGTGTGTGTGTGTGTGTGTGGGCCGCCTAGAAGCCAGATTATGGTGTAGCCAGAGCTCCACTGTGTGCAGCTGTTGCACGCCCACACAACTATAAATACTCGCATATCTTCTACCCTTTCCATTCGAATGATGCAGCAGTGAGATCAGAGCTGGAAATACATTGATCAGGCCTAGAACAAAGTTTAATTCCTCCAGCTGCGCGACTGTCTGGGCAAATATGACATTTGTGTGCTACAGTAAAACTCAGCTAACACGGCTAGTCTAGACATGCAGCTTAGATTGGGGACTAGACGAAGTTCAACTTGATCACAGTTGGGTTTAAGTCTCAGCTATATATAGAATCTATAATAGATTCGTTGTTACCATAAAGAGTATAGCTATGATCTATTTATAGGTTCGGGCATCTTAAATTTTCACTCAAACTTGGTTTTGAATCTCATCTATTCATAAAATCTATAATAGATCCTCCGTTGCCATGACGAGTACAGCTAAGATCTATTTATAGGCTAGGGTTTCTTAAATTTTCACTTATATATTCATAACCCTAAAAGAAACTCAATTCCAGTTGACTTCTGTTATTCGGATTTCTCAATTAATTTCACATGTTCACAAAATCTTTCGTAGATTAATGTAAAAACAATGAAACACACATAAACCCCGTGTTTTTTCGACGATCAAATCAACAATTTTCCTTAGGCACCCTTCACTTAAGGGTTCAAATGTTCAAATAAAAACTATTCTTCACACAACAAAAGCCAACAATGTCAACTATCTTGGAATCTACGTGTTTAAGGGTTGATGAGTCAGTTGGGCCGAAGAGACAAGTGAAGCATTTAAAGTCAAGGGTTATACTGCATAATTTAGGGCCTGTTTAAATGATTTGAACTTAAAATTCACACATTTTTTCAGGCCTCAAAATTATTGTAGTTAATTTATCAGGATTATAAATTCGTTAACATTGAATATGCTTAAATACGAAATGTTTATAAAATATTTTATAAGCTTAACACTATGTAATGAATGTAAAAGGAAACATGCATATTAATTTGACTGATCTACATAGATATAGAAATATATATACATATATATATATATATTGTACAAACATATATTTTGGAAAACTCGTGACAAACAAATATATTCTCAGCACTTCAGACGCTCTCCGCCCACTGTGCAGCGAGCCGGCGCACTGATTCGTTAATAACTCGCTCAATTCTCAATTCTCTCAGTTGGCTGAAAAGCTCACGCTCACGCTCACGCTAACGCTCACGTTGGCGTTCACGTTGGCGCTCAGCCGGAGCGCAGACTCAATTCCAATTTGTGGTGCTGGTTGTGACTTGTTGGGCCTGGTCCAAGGCCATCTGCTGCTGGTTCAACAACATTTGCGACGGTTGCGGCTGCTCCTCTTGCGGCTGCCGTTGTTGTTGTTGTGTTAGTAGCTGTTGTTGTTGTTGTGCTAGTTGTTGTTGTTGTGGCTGCTGCGATTGCTGCATCGTCTGCAGCAGCAGCTCGCCCATCTTGGCGCGAAAGGTTACATTCTGGAGCGGCGACATTTGCTTCATCAGCGGCAAGAAACTGATGAGAAAATTGTAGTCCGAGTCGCCCACGTGCAGGATGTTCTTGCAGCGCGCCAAGTCCTGGCTGGTGGACTGTATTAGCTGCTGCTCCTCACGCTCCAGACCCTCCAGGAAGTTGACCTGCTCGTCCACACGCTTGGCGCAATGACAGCTGCTAGCGGCGGCGGCCTCCACAGCCGATGGCCGGCCAATGGGCGTGGGCGTGACGGTCGGCGCCGCCGCCTGCTCCTCGGCGGCAGCGCTGGCCAGCGATATGCTGTGCGAGAGTCGACGCAGCGCCTGCGGCGTGGCCATGCTCTGGAATTGCTGCATAAGATCATCGTTGTCCGCCTCCATTTCGTCCGTCGGCTGGGTCTCCGTCTTGAATGACATCGCCTCGCCCAGCGCCAGATCGCAATCGTCATCTTCGTTGTTGCTGCTGTCCGAGCGCAGCCGGCGCCCGTCTAGAAAGCTCATCGCCTCCGCATAGGACCACTGATGCGAGGGCGACGGTTGTTGTTGTCGCTTCAGCTGCTGTTGGGTGCGATGCTGCTGCCGGCGATAGCTGCAGCGCAGGTTCTTCCACTTACTGCG